TGTTATTGTTATCAATTTTTTTTTGATCATGTATTAGGTAAAAACTCGGGTGAAAATAAATGTTCGATGAAAGTAGAAAATATATAGAATCAAACTTTAGAACAGTACCCATGCACAAACTACCCCGGGTAGTTTCAGTGGGATGTACTATTCCTTGTTTCCGAACAATTTTTAGTATATGTAGAAAATATTTTGTATCTTTTGTTTCAGTGGTTTTCCCGGTTTTTCCGAAAAATTGTATGAATTTTACTAAAAGTCCACTGAAACAAAAACCCAAGCAATTAACGAAGTAATCATATTTCAACGCCCATTCACAGTTACATGATTGTCTCATTGAAATTCATATACAGGTGAACAAAAAAACAATATACCATAACAGATATATGGAAGGAGCCAACACCAAAATTCCAATAGAAACAATCGAAATCAACACTTCTAAACATCAATATTCACACATGAACGCAACTCAACCTGAAAAATTAACGAACACAGATCATAAAAAGTTGAACTGCCATACAAAGATGGCGCGGAATCGATTTCTTCGTTGCTTTACCCCCTCCTAAACTTGTTTTTTACCAAATGATGTCACCATACGGTTACATGGTCCATAAAATATAGCCCATTCTTCCAGATTCCATTAATTGTTATCAATTTTCAATAATCTCTGAAGTAATCTGTGTGCACTTGGGTTTTCCCTCGGGTTTTCCAATATAATATTCCCCTGATGTAATACAGAAAACATACACAGAAAAAAAGGATCAACAAATTATTTATGATTGAATTATTCTTGTTGGACTGAGCAATATTTTTGTTGAATCAGCCAGATACATGACTATTTCATGGAAGCTGCTTGTTCGAATCAAGAATGTTGTCTAATTGAATCAACAGTATTATATCAAATACTGTTTGTATATAGGTTAATCAAGGAGGAGGTATATATCTCTCCTCGAAAATCCCAAAAAATCAAGTAAAATGAGTATTATATCAATTCCATCAACAAAATATATATTGTGTTCTCAAACACAAATTATGTCTTTCTTTTGCTGATTTAATGAAATAATAATCATTTTGATAAAAATATATTTTTTCTTATCCCGATGTATATGGCAATGAACTCGTTTCGAACGGATCATTTGCTTGAATAGAGCAACGAAATATGTAATATCAATGAAATATTTTGTTAATTCTACATCAAGTTAAATTTTCGCTTCTAGATGGCGATCATTTCGCTTCGTCTATGCCGAGGTCTATGCCTGCCTCGAATTCATTTCAATATACGTGAAGCCTTATTCTTCGTGTTTGAAAATTTGTAATATCAGCTGGACAAATCGAACTTGAGATGATTATAGCAATCCGAAATAGTTTTGCATCAGCTGAAGAGAAATGCATACTGGAGATCTATGCTGGAAGTCGACTAGTTTTCTCGTTTAGTTTATTCTATTGATGTGAAATTCTAAAAAACTCCCGAATAATCACTGAATTTGGTTCAACAAAACAATTTGTCGAATGGAAATACAGTTTCTCTTGAATCAACGAAATATTTAATGGAATCAACAAAATATTTCATTGAATTAACCAAATTTTCCATTGAATTAACCAAATTTTCCATTGAATTAACCAAATATTATCAACCAAATGATTCATTGAATCAACCAAATGATCCTTTGTATCAATATTTCATTGAATCAACTAAATATTTGATTGAATCAATATCTTCTTATTTTGTATAGAACAAAATGATTGTTTGAGCCAATTCAATATCTCTTCATAAACAATGCATGGATGTGCATGATTGAATCTAAGGATCCAGAGTTCATGCAATACAGATTTGCTCAATTCAAACTTCAAATTCGCTCTGAAACAAGATATAGATTTCCTCATTTCAATATTATATGTCGTTCATATAATATGACACTTTTATTTGATTCATTCAATTAAATTTTGCTTGATTCAACAATTCCTTTTTTCCGTGTACTGAAAGTGTCAAAGGAAGGTTAGCAGTTTTCTTCTGACATTTTAATTTTTCCACTAGACGATTCTCGAGCGATTCTCAAGCCAACCTAATGAAATTCTAGATTGGATCTGCGGTTGAATCTGGTACAATTACATGATATTCCATCATGTAACATTAAATTTAATCGACGAGTAAGCTCACAGAGGAATTTCTTGATTACATTTCATGAATTCGACACAAACTATGCCGGGAATGAACACGATTTTTTTACGGCGGGATCAAATTGAATCTGAAATCTAATTTAATTACCTCCTAACATTTTTGATTCACCACACCTTTTATGAATTTGAAACGAATACCGATGGATTTACCTACAGTTGGACCATTATTACACGCACTTTGGCAATAATGAAATAAACTAGAAATAACTTGGTTATCTGCCTATCAAGCCATTTTTACTGATATTCCAGAATGAGAATCGCACAGGTTTCAACAACCACTTCAAATGTATAGAATTAAGTATACTGGATCATTTCTAATTTTTTTGTTGATGATCTATCTCGTAAGTTTCATCATTTTGGTCACATAATTTCACATAATTTCACATAATTAAAATATTGAGAACTAATTCGGATGTATAAAACACAGACTCATGGGAATTCTACAGGGAAAACTGAATATAAAAGCACAAATAATTCCGATTTCATTCAACCGCAGCAAGCAGGTACACGAGGGAACATTAGGTAATTTATTAGACAATCTGGAAGACAAAGGGCACACTCGAGAAATCAGGAATAAAATAAATCAGTCGTAAACTCGGTCGTAACGACTCCAGCTTAACATATATGGGATATAGGACATACTAGAGGAACGATCAGAAATAGATTTAAGGAACATCTAGCATTCAAAAGTGTAGCATGTATATTATAAGAGTATCATCAAAAAATATAGGAGATATTATTATCATTCAACCTTATGATACAAGACTAGTCTGAATTGTTGATGCTTCATTTTATACTCGTTATATACCCACTCATTAAAACTTCGTCAACGAATTTTTTCTTTTTCAAAAGCGTTGGTTTCGATGCTTGATGTGCATTTTGAAGATTACTCCCCTTTCTGTGATCAAAGAAATCCAAAAGAAATTCTAGAGGGATTGAAACTACCCTCACCCCCGACATTTTTTTCCTAACAAAATTGAGGGTGCATTCGAGGGTGCATGATAATACAGAGTTCTCAAATTTTTTTCATTAGAAGACAGATTGATTGTCTCTATTTTGTGACTCTTGTAAAAACTTTGTATTCTCTATATTTACGAAGGAATAGAAATATTTATTTAATAATGCTTACAGATAATCCCAGTACAAGTTTGATAACATTTTAATAGAAAATTCAATTGACAGTGGAAACAAATGCAGAACGTTTCTTCTAATAAATTTTCAATATGACGGCCACCTCGACTGCCACCTTCATCGATACAAAGGTCAATTCGACGTAAAAAATTGAATAGCACCTGTTTTTTATGTAAACTCAGAACTCTTCTCACGAACAAACGGTACACTTTGGTATAAAAATAAAATGGGTTCAATCAACTTATTTTGACCCCTATTACATGTGGTAGCTCTGTTCCCAGGAATTTTGGGACACCCTGTATGTACGCTGTTGATGGCTGATGGCTTTTGTTGTGGTAATTCCCAAAAATGAGCCAATAACACCGTTGATCACTTCCAAAGAATGATAAAGATGGCTCTAAAAAATAGGAGTAGTTTCTGTTGAAGGCTTCAAATTTCACGTCCATAATTTTCTGATGATCTCAATATAATGTAACAGAAAAAAAATGTGTATTATACACGAAAAAAATATTGGATTTTAGCTCGATTTTAGCTCACGGTTTTTTGTCAACACTTTTTTCCCTTGTATAATAAATTGTATTGTGTAGCTGATATGAAAAAAATAAGATACAAATCAGTCGATGTGCAGGTCCATCATATCTCTCAGATTATAGAGTCTCTCAGGCTAATTAGAGTTCCTAAATGTATTTGACACTGCTGTTTTGACGTTTTTTGCATATTGGCGTACGGACACTATGACACGCACTGACAATCAGACGTAACAAATACATTGATGGAAAAGCGGGAACTGACAGTACGCGGACGTACCTGACATACATTTCAAAGATTTGACAAATTGACAGAATTAGGAGGAAGATGCAAGTTTGTGCTGCTCCCACATGGATGGAATATAGGTTCAGGCCACAAAATTTGCGAGGTATTCAAATTTCTTGGTAGGATATAGAACATTTTTCAACGCATTTTTATCAGGTATACTTCAGAAGATTTGATGTTGAAGAGTAGGATCGTATTGAGAGAAAGCCGAACCCCGAATTTATAAACTGAGCGAGTATCGAAAAGAATCTTATTCTGATTTAGAACCAACAAGAAACGAAAAACTTTCAGATAATGAAATTCATTTCGAACATATTTTGGATGAAACAGACTTGAGAATCGAATTTTTAGAGCAGGAATATTCAAAAATCCAAGGTTTACGAGTGGAAGATGGTGAAGAATTCAGGAAACAAATTGAAGAAAAAAATAGAGAGTTGGAAAATAAGTTGAATCAAAAAGATTGAGATACAAAATTCAGAGTTAGCAGAATTCAAAACTATTACCAGGTCCTTCAGCCTTATCATTCAATATTTCGAGAAGAAATAATTTTCTAATCAATTTATCGTACCCTTTTTTACCCTCGCTTTTACTTACTCGAGGAGACGCTATGCACTCTCACACAAAAATCAAAGACTGAGAAAGATAAATCCAGGACTTGTGGAGGAAGAAAGTTGCGAGGATCCTTTATCTAAGCGAAAAACATATTCTTGTCCTTGTCTGGCAAAACATATATGATTTACTTCAAAATCGTGTCTAGTATACAAAAAACGTCAAAACAGCAGTGTCAAGTACATTTATAGGAACTCTAAAGCTGATGACCTGAATAATGTTGTATAAAACTAAACCTGATTATTACCAAGCCTATAAACGGTGTTACTGACCTTTCTCTCTGTTCGGTAATGATCTGCTCCGGTCTCCGGCAAACAGAAAATGTCCTTCGACAAGTGCAAAATCAGCCGACACTCACTCGCTACACCGCACAAGCACACGCAACCTCACTGGCGCAAAGTCAAGTTCAAGTTCGAGAGCTCAAGCTGCAAACGGATCGAGAGACAAGCGATGATCGACCCAGCGCTTACCAAGACCAAGAACACCGAAATGAGTCCGTTGGACAGGTGAGTCCGTCTTATAGCCTCTGCAGGATGGGATGGCCGTTGGCTCTGAAGAAGACGAAGAAGAAGAAGAAGACGAGGAGAAGAGGATTCTAAGAAGGCGATTGGCGAAGGGTCTTCTCGCACGCTGGCTGCTCTCGAGGTACTGTTAGATGGTGCTTTGGCGTCAATTTTCCGAACTAAGATGTTCAGATCGATGGTGTGATTACTAGCGGCTTGGTTGCCTATGCAAGGGCGTAACAATAGGGGGGGCTGAGTGGGTTCAGCCGACTTCAGAATAATTGGAGTACATCACATAATAGATGAATACAACATTCTCTCATCCACCGGTTTTGTATGAGAAAAAGTATTCACAGTCACCGACAAGAAAACAACCGGCCAGCAAACATTTTTGCCAAATTGATCGCCCACTTTTCGATCGATTTACTATAAATGCATAAGAATAATTACCTACCTTCTCAAAAACTCGTTGAAAACGAAGAAAAACATTTACAGGGTGATCCACGGTGAATGACAACTAGCAACATCGTTATTTTGAATGAAGCACCCTGTATTTCATTGCATTTTTGGATTCTTCCTGAAGAGCTGATTTCTTCGATGGATCACAATTGGGGTCTAGCAGAAATGATTACAGAGATATGGGGTGTTCAAAATCGAGATTTTTCAATTTTAGGAATTGTTTCAAGGAACTGCCTCTGTAGCATTTCCTTCATGAAGGACATAGCCGTACTATTGGGTATTCCCAATATCGGTTCTGGTCCAATGGGTGTCGTTCCTGAACCGCGGCCACATTAAAAAAATGCAGATCGCCCTGTTTGTTCCATTCATAGATGAAGGTGAGTATAATTCACTGGAAGGGATATTTGAATCTGGATGTCATGAATCTCTGCACTGTAATTCAATACAAAATGAAATTCCAATTAGAATTTTGAATAATTCACCAACCTAAATCAACCATCTGACTAATTGACTCCTTCATCCATAGAACGGCTAGGCTCTGGAATTCATTGCCTGTGGAAGTATTCCCGACAACATATAATCTCCAAAAATTCAAAAAAAATTCCAATACCTACCTCCTGTCCCTATCTTCCCTAGGAACGCACGATGTTCTTCGAACATTATAGGGATTCCCTTTCGTGCGCTCCAATCGATAAAAAAAAAATTGTGCAATGCAATTTTTCAGTACAAACGAATTTTCAGTTAGAGTGAGTTATTAAACAGCATCTGTATTATTTCATAAAATAAAAAAATTGAGAAATGAATATCCAACTAATCATAGCTTTCTGTACAAATTGGCTTCATTGTCTAGTACATTGTGCATTTTAACGGCCCCGTGAGAAAGTGAGGGCATCACTAATCCAAATTGCTCGCGCAATGACGTCACACGTTTCGCGGATATGTCTGATCATTTGAATTTGCTTGTTCATTTTGGCGTTTTCGATATTTTTTTTATACGATCGATTGATGAAAAAAAAAATCGCAAGAAATTATTTTAAGGTATTCCAGAGCCATATATTTCGTGATATATTTATAGAAATTACTGGAAAAGTTCATTGATCAAATTTATCAAGCATTAGCCTCAAGGAATGGCCTCAAATTCTCCTTGAAGGGCGAACGTGGCTTGAAGATTCTCTGACAGTACCGGACGAAGGCGAATAAGCCTCTGGAGGTCATCCCAAAGATTATAGGTTGTCAATTAATTAATAGAAATTAAAATATTCTCGATTTTGATCACCCTATATTTATGTAATCATTCCTGCTAGACCCCAATTGTGATCCATCGAAGAAATCAGCTCTTCAGGAAAGATCACAAATGCAATAAAATACAGGGTGTTCCATTTGAAACAACAAAGTTGCTAGTTGTTTCAGATTGAAGTGGGAACACTGCATCGATGAAAATATTTTAGACGGATTGAGAATGTTTAATTATCAAAGCATCCCAATTCTCAGAATGTTCTGTCTTCTCGTTCTCCAAATACTTGTAAAAGGCCATCCACCGTGGACCATCCTGTATAGAACAATCAATATAATGTAACACGTTTGAAAATTAATGGCTAACTGACTCCTCGAGGAGACGCCGTCTTGCCAAATATGTTTTATTTCGATACTTTTACACGAAGAATACCACTAGACCAAAAATCCGTTGAAATAGGGATACATTCATACCAGTAAATATTGGTGAACTTGTAAAAAATATTTGTAAACTTATAGTGGGACTGAAGGGGTTAACTTCTTGACACTCTGGGCAAAGATGGGTGGATGAACTCAGCTTCATCATGTTTTGGATTGAAGTCTGATTCCTTCTGAACACAATATGTTTTGATTCACGTCAGTATCTTCCTCTTCAGAGATGAAACAAGTATTTTAAGAAAGCATTAAAATAATTCAGAACAGAGCCGGATTTAGAGGTCTGGAGGCCCTGGGGCAACAAAAGTGTGGAGGCCACCAGGCTTCTAATTGTTTTCCATATAAAATTAACAAATTTCTCGGTGAATAATTTTTTGCGAAACCAACTAAATTATCTCAACATATACAGGGTGTTTCTGAAGTACGTGTAAAAAATTCAGGAGCATGTTGCTGACGTTTAAATAAGAAGAAAAGTTTGTATAAACCTGTATCCGTGAGTTTAACCCGTCGAGTTGAGGCTTCGCACCCATTTGTGGTCACTTTGGAGACCTGCAGAACATCTCTTTCCAAAGACTCGTTCATGCAACGAACAGCGAGGCCCTGCAACACATTGCCAAGGGAGGTGTTTCCCGAGGCATATAACCCCCAGAAATTTGAGAACACCAATTCCTACCCTATTTCCCTTGATTCTCACGATGTTCTCTGAACATTACAGGATATCCCTTCTCGTGGGAACTAGAACATAAAAAAAAGGTATTCATTCAGAGATACAGAGTTTCAAATTTTGACTGTTATTTGGGTTTTTTGACATCAAATTTCACTCTATCACGTTCATTCCTGAATTTATGCACAAAAAACAGGAAAAAGAATCAAACTTCGACACTTTGATAATCAGAAATGAATAACTTGCGGACATGTGTTTTTAAGAAATTATCTTCTAATTTTGTCGTCAGCAACATGTTCCTGTGATTTTACCGCGTACTTAAGAAACAACCAGTAGAAATATCGTCAAAACCAAGAATCATCTGAAAGAAGGTTTTGTCCCATCAATGTTCGAAGCCTATTTTTTATAATTTTCATTTTTGAAAATAAGCATTCTCCAGTGCAGTTCGATGTAATCAAAACCAAATACATTCTCAGTGCAATTTCAATGTTCTGGCATGTATTCCTTGAACTTTCATCTTCAAGAATGTCTTATCAAAATACTCAGTAGATTGTTTTTTCCATAGTCCTCTTTAATGAAAACCCGAAAACGAACACCCACCCTTTGAGGTTACGGACAAGTATTGCCCCACTCAGCTATTGGGAAACTCTATCAAGATGGATAGTAAATAGCAACAACTGCTTATCAAGGTCATTTTGAAAATTTGATATCAGATTGGAGTAAACAAATAAAATTAAATTATTTTTCAATATTTAAGTACTAAGGGTAAAACTAAGAACCTGACTTTTTCTTAAAAAATATTGTTGAATAAGTTGTTCTCTAGTGTTTACCCGTCGAATGTCGAAATTTTTCTTTTCTCTATTGTGGGGGCCCCGGATGCCCCGCCTCCTAAATCCGACACTGATTCAGAACCATTTCCCATGCAATCTTCTGCATCATAACCTTTGGATTGAACTATGATTCCTTTCTGCCCCTTCTCAAGACAATGGTTCTTGGTTCTTGGATCAATATAGTATTTTTGAGAGAACTCACAAGTGTTTGAAGAAAGTACGGAAGTATGGAATATTTCAGTTCAAATTAAATAATAATAATAAGCCCAGTCAGCACATCCTTTCGTTGTCAACCTCGAAAGATGTCGAACATCACTTTATCAAGACTCCTCCATCCATAGAACGGCTAGGCTCTGGAATTCATTGCCTGTGTGGAAGTATTCCCAACAACATATAATCTCCAGAAGTTCAAAAAAAATTCCAATACCTACCTCCTGTCCCTATCCTCTCTAGAAACGTACGATGTTCTTTGAACAATATAGGAATTCCCTTTCGTGCGCTCTAAGCGATAAAACAAAATTGACAACCTATAATCTTTGGGATGACCTTCAGAGGCTTATTCGCCTTCGTCCGGTTTTGTCAGAGAATCTTCAAAAGTCACTTTCGCCCTTCAAGGGGAATTTGAGGCCATTCCTTGATAAATTTGATCAATGAGCCTTTCCAGTAATTTTTATAAATGTATCTCGAAAATTATGGCTCTGGAATACCTTAAAATAATTTCTTGAGTTTTTTTTTCATCAATCGATCGTATAAAAAAATTATTGAAAACGCCAAAATGAACAAGCGAATTCAAATGATTAGACATAACCGCGAAACGTGTGACGTCATTGCGCGAGCAATTTGGATTAGTGATGCCCTCACTTTCTCGCGGGCCGTCAAAATGCACAATGGACTAGACAATGATGCCAATTTGTATAGAAAGCTATGATTAGTTGGATATTCAGTTCTCGATTTTTTCATTTTGAAAAATAATACAGATGCTGTTAAATAACTTAATAATACCTATCTAACTGAAAATTCGTTTGTACCTACTGAAAAATTGCATTGCATAATTAGTTAGATGGTTGATTTATGTTGGTGAATTATTCAAAATTCTAAGTGGAATTTCATTTTGTATTGAATTAGAGTGCAGAGATTCATGACATCCAGATTCAAATATCCCTTCCAGTGAATTATACTCACCTTCATCTATGAATGGAACAAACAGGGCGATCAATTCTGCATTTTTTCTATGTGGCCGCGGTTTTTTATTTCGATGAGTGTATGAGGAGGCAGACAGACTAGCCAAGATCGGTTCAGGAACGACACCCATTGGACCAGAACCGATATTGGGAATACCCAATAGTACGGCTATGTCCTTCATGAAGGAAATGCTACAGAGGCAGTTCCTTGAAACATGGCGGGACACACCAGGAATGAGACAATCAAAGCTCCATATAAAGGAACCTTCAAAAAGACTCACGAGAGAGATCCTGTCACTTAATAGAAGGGATCTCAGGATGGTATTCGGGCCCTTAACTGGGCACAACCACCTCAACAGGCACC